GAGCTGCAGCTTTCTGGATGGTCAAAATCATTTAACTTAACGAATGAAACCCGTTTTGCGTACTGGTTGACTCACTGCCTGACCCTGGTAAAAAAGTGTGCACTTCTTTTTGGCCAAGCCACAGAAGTTGGTTGAATTCACTCCTGTATCCTCTCTGCTCTAAAAACCGCCAGCTTCCGGGACTCCACAACACACACATACTCGCGTGCATTTGCATGCGCAGACCAGCGGCTGATGGCCCTGGAGAACGGGGACAAGCTGGAGCAGCAGCTCCGGGACTTGGAACAAAGGCGGGCGAGTCTCGAGGGCGAGCTCCGGAGACTTCTCGCAGGGATGACTTAAGCAAACCGGAAGGATTGGATTCCCCTCGTAAATACCAACAGGCCCATGGGTTATTCTAGCCATGGTTTCAAAGTGGAACGATTCCCCTACGTAAATACCAACAGACCCATGGGTTTCGGATGCTTCCATACAGGACAAGGGTGTCTACGTAAATACCCAGAGACGTTATGGGTTTCAATTCTTTTTTTCATTTTGCGGTGCGAAATGGAGCTCGCCCAGGGCAGATCTGACTCGCTGTCGTTAACGTGTCGTTGTTGCTTGGTTTACTCCCCTGCAAATTTACCTGGAACCCATTTTGGCGGGTGAGGTTCCCTCTTGAAAAGATGGCTGTTTGGGCATGTTAAACGGAAGAGTAGTGGTGGCTGGAACCAAAGTACAAGTTTAAACTTTAACAATGACCCATGATTTGAACCAGCAGGCAATATTTGCATGTTCGGTAGCACAGGTTGGGGCATCGACCATCTTGCTTGTTATACTCAAATTGAAAGGCTTCTGGTTAAATGAGCAAGTTCCTAGATTTGATATGTTGATTGTTTTGAGGGTTCCCCTTTGGGCTGTGTGTTTACGGGAAACCAAATGGAAACCAACCATTTGTGAATCGGTTCTCCTTGTTTGAGACGAACCCTCTTTAGAAACCCAAAAGACAATAGCAGGTCACCTCCTATACCCTATGCTTCCAAAGCCTATTTAAAAAATAGTCGTTGTGACAACCCCTGTTTTTTGATAAAGACTATTTTTTGGATGACGAGCGGCAGCCTCCGTTTTGGACTGGAACCGGGACTAGGAAAGACTTGACGCTAAGGCCGCCTCATAGGATCCCAAAGCCGAATATGTATTTTCATATGCAGCAATAGGTGTCACAATCTTCAAGGCTAGTTGCTTCTATTTTGCTTGGTTTCTTAACATGGCCATGTAGCGCGTGAGGGTGAATCCTCTTCTGACCGTTTCTGTCCTTCTTTTGCCCCACTTTCTTAGCCAAACCAAACAAAACGGGACAGCAAAAATATTTACCCATCACAGCAACCATTCCAGGATGCGAATGTTGATCTTCTGGGTCCCCTGCAAAATTTGCCCGTTCTACGCCAAAAAATAGTGGTTCTACGCGTGTTTCTACGGTTTTTCTACGCTTTGTCTACGGTTTGTCTACGCTCGCGTCATTTTTGGAGCTGTGTGAAAATTGGAGCGGAAAAAACAAACACAAAGTTGCTTGTTGTTCGTGCCACCTGCGCAAATTGCAGAGGACAATTCTAGAATTTGCTAGAATGAAGGCTCCGTCTACGCAAGACTTTCAGCAGGTGCATTTCGCAAACGCGAAAGGGCGCCGAGGACCCTATCAATAAATAGTAATCTACTGGCTCCCAAGGCTTCTGAAGAGGTTGCAATAGCAGGCGTAATTTCGATAAACACAAAGTAACAACCCAAAATGGACCCCAAAGGCCAATGTCAAAAAATAGGGGTTGTCAATGCAAAAAATAGGGGTTGAACAACCCCTATTTTGAAAAATAGTCGAGGAAGCATCGGGTATAAGTGCTTGCATGGGATCCAGTGGAAAAGAAAAGGGACCCCAAAGTACTTTCGGAGCCCGACCCACTCTGGCTTGACTACATCCCCAGGTGCCGGGGTTTCGGTGACCAACTAGCTCCACTTGTTGCATACAAGTCGTTTCTGTTGTTTAGACGGTTTCTTCGGTTTCGTGGATTTCAATGGCAGGATTTGTCACTCATTCGGCAGGGTACTAGTATAGTCCTTAAGGGTTTGGATAGCGTCAGACTGGGTTGCTTGAAATGTTGATTGCTGCATGGCAAAATGGCATTTGGTTCCCTTGCTGCAACGGCGTCTCACAACAGATTTCACAATGGCTCCCAGTTTAAACAACCGGGTTTGTGCTATGATCCACAGCACCCCTATTCTAGGTTTTACTCCTTCTAAGGTCCCCCCCCATGTTCCCGGTATCCGCCAAGTTTGCCTTTTGGTTTGGTATCTTCACTAATCCCAGACCATCCATGTAGTTATATACATTTCCACACCCACACCCTACAGTCGGATTGTTTAGGAATGGTTGGGTCATGTTTTTAAGCTAGCGGGGGGGAAACCGAACACCAGAACTGGGATCGTGTCCACGCCACGGACCTATTTCTTCTCCCCACCACGGACCGGGGGGAGTGAGGCCCACTGCCAGGGGTATCTTATCCCCGAAGGGAACCGGTACCTTGTCGTAGCAGAGGATCTTTATTTGATAGGTCCCTGGATCTATTCCGGAGAGTCCAAGTGTCAATACTGATGGATTGATACTGGATTAGCCTTGGTTGATTGTGTTCTGTGGTTTACCCTGAAAGTGGTCCGCTAGCACGTTTGTATCACGCATGCAATGGCGCAGTGAGCTATGTACATCTGATGTGTGACATGAAAGGCCTTGAGCCAAAATGATGTTGCATGGAGATCAATGGGTCCGAAAAACAAACCGGGGGGGGGGGGGGTTCGGGTGGGGGGCTTCCTTGGCAACATCACGTCATTCTGATGCCATTGAAGACGGTGCGATCTTGGAGCTGTGCTGCCAAAACGTGGGGCGCCAGGCTTAGCGAAGACGTTTTTCGCTCTGAGAACTTGTTCTGGAGATTGCTTGTTTTACGTGGCTCTGCCAATGCAAACTCATTCTCGGTTCCAAAAACAGCGTTCGGTTCTCCACCTGCACGGATGTTTTTCGTGGATTTGTTCTCCAAGCGCGCGTCTCGAATCCAACAAAACCACCCGTGCAGGTTCCAGGAGCAGCTCACCCTCGAGCTGCGGGATATGGAGGCTGCTCAGCTTCGACTCTCCGAGGCTCAGTTCGCTTTGGGTGCCGCACCTTAGGGTGAGGGCTGTTGTTTTTGTGTTTGCCTGGGGCTGGATGTTTTCTTTTAGTCTGGTTCCTTGGCTGGTCGGTCGTTTGGTTTGTTGGTCGTTTGGTTGGTCGTTTGGTTGGTCGTTTGGTTGGTCGGTTGGTTGGTTGGTTGGTCGGTTGGTTGGTTGGTTGGTTGGTTGGTTGGTTGGTTGGTTGGTTGGTTGGTTGGCCACATCCCCGGCATCACCAGCCTCACTTGGACCTAGTGCCTAGGGTTGTCTATTGGCTCTGAATCGGGGGCAGTTGGGAGTTGCTCAGGGCTGGTTTAGTTGGGGGCTTGGGCTGGCTTAGATCGTACTGTCACAAAAGGCTGACATCCAGGCTGATTGGGTGAGTTCCAGGGTTGACTTGGGTGGGTTTGGGGTTTAACTGGAGCTGATTTGGGTTAAGTGTGCTGGTGTAGCGGTGGCTTTAAGTTTGCGTTCGAGTAAGGTTACGTGAGTTTTGGGCTGGTTTAGGATTGGTTTTGCCCAGCATTTCGGGTGTGGTGTAGCCCAACACCACAACAAACGCACTTCTACCCCTGATGTTGCCGACGGAAAAGTTATCACTTGCCCAAAGCCGCCCTTTTGACCTTTTTGTTTTCTTATGTAGTCAAGGTTGCAAAAGGTCGGACAAATGAGAGTGAGATCTAAAACAGTCGTCAAGCCTCTTGGCAAGCCTGTTGAATGTCCGGCATTGGAAGTTCGGACTCGATGGGTCTGTCTTTTTTAGGGTACCCGTTTTGAACAGAGCAAGACCAAAGAAGGTGGAAGACAATAAGCCGGACAAAGAAGGTTGAAAAGAAGTGAGCAGGGCGGAGGGTCGATTCCAATGCAAACACAAAGCAAAGGCAAGCTCCATGGTTGTGATGTGTGAGAAACGGTCCAAGCGAGCAGATGAATAAAGAGCAAAGGTTTGCAAGCAAGAGAGCTGAATCATTTCACAAAAGGTTTTGATGCGGAGGACAAAGAAAGCAGGCAGTGGAAAGGACCTAGAATGTCCCCGCAATGCTGTTTTTAAGTGCAAACAGTTAGTCCCTAAAAACCAAAAGTACAATGAATAAATCAGAGACAGGCAAGGAAAAACGGCAAGAAGGTGAGGAAAGAACACACAGACACAACAGAATTCCAAGGAAACCACAAGGAAAAAAGTGGAAAACACAAAACCAGCAGGTGCAAAATTTGCACGTGTCCAATGGCAAGAAACCAACAAGTATAAATTTTGCCATTGTGTACAAGGAAACATGTTGCACTCGTTTTTGGCTGTCGTGGCCTCTTTCAAGAAACATATTCTACATGTTGCAAGGTTTTTTCAACATGGCACACACTTTTTACAGATTAAATTGCAGGACACGTCCAATGATTCAAGTTGTTTTTTCTTTGGATCTCCTAAATTTACTAAATATAGTACAAAGTACTTTCATTCCCCGCAGATCCACGAAGTCTTGGTAGGGCTTTAGAACTCTAGGGGTTAGGCTTACACCAAGGGTCCCTTTTGACCCCTCAAGTACACCCTCTAGCAGAAACCGCCCCAACCAGGTCGGAGATGCTAATAAACAAACTCCAGGAGCATCCCCGACACATGGACCAAATACCATGTTTCTTGTTGGTGTGTGGCCAACTTCCGGGATAATTTTCCTGGAGATTGTTTCACAACAATGAGCCAAACTTAGGCCAAGTGGGCAATGAGCTTTTGACAGGAGACCATCCGACAGCTGCGAGACCTGCGTGTCGGGGGCTCTGAGTGAAACCTCCGGAGCGAAAAGGGTTAACCCAGACCTCCAGTGATAACCTGCCATAGCTGCAGCCTTAGTGAAACTCAGAACTCCACTGAAAGGCAACTGAGCATCCAAAAGCTTCCGGCGAAGCAAAATCTTAAAGCAGATTGCGCAAAATTCATTTCGCACCTGTCAGAAGCCCTGGCTGAGTCGATTCCCCGACGGCGCCGTATCGTTATGGTTTCATTCCCGTGGGTTTTATTCACCGTGCGAGTGGCCATTTCGCAGCCATCCACTATGTTCTTGCTGGTGCGATGGGTAGGGAATGACGTTATTTGGTGAACGAATCCGTTTGGGGCTTCCCAAACAACGGGAACCAAAAAAAAAAGGGGATGCGGGAATGACCTGGGGATTCCTCAAAGGAAACCACCAGCAGGATGGTTTTTGTCAGCATTCCGTGCGACCCGGTGCCCGTTTGAGGAGAATTTCTCTGAGAGCCTCGCGGAGGAGCGCTCCTCCCGCGAGGCTCAGAACTCCTCCCTGGAGGCGACGAGTGCGTCGGGCATGGACTCGAGGCCGTCGATTTGGGTGAGTTGGGTGAGTCTGTTTTCAGGCCCCCTCCGCAAAACGAGAAAACAAATTGTGGTTTTCCTGAAGTACGAACATTGGGTGCCCACAAGAAAACGGCTGACCCAGAATCCGCGGCTGTTACGCAGGCTGAAATGTCTTCCCAGTCATTCCATTTCCGTAGGTAACCAAGCGTTTGCCACCCTTTAAAACCACGAGGAACATGGCTGCTACAGTGATATCTGCGATCCACTGGGCTCTGTTTCCATATGAGGGCCGTCCTAAAACCCCAGTCTTCGGTTTTAATTATCGCCGAACAGGGAGAAGTAAAAGTTGTCAAAAGCTGTGCGCGCGCAAGGAGCGCGCAAGTGCGGCCCAAGGGACGCGCAAGGTTACATACAGTTTTGAAGGGTTTCATGTACTGATGTTGCCTAGCTTCATGAAAGGAGGTGATATTTTCCTGCTGTACTTGTGCCTTTCGAATCAGTCAGACGCCAAACGAAGCCAAAGCTTCTGCGGTCATGACTTCAACAATCAGCAATTGAGACGACAAAATCCGCGCAAGCCGCGCGCAAGCCGCGCGCAAGTTGCGCGCAAGCACGAGAAGCCCCAGCAAGACATCTAGCCATGCTGTCTCGGATGTCCTTAGCGGCGCGGTTCAAGCAATGGATAGGCACCCGCAACATGCACTTTCTTTCTTTCAGGCTGTGTCCAAGCTGTGTGGCAGAGCCTGCTGTTCTTTCTGTTGGGTCAAGGGTACTGTTGCTGGCATTGAATTGCCGGGAGCGACCTCAGCGGGAAAAGTCTTTGTGGGTTGCTGTGTGAACGACAAACACACTGCTTAGAAAAGCTTGCGCGCAATCCACACGAAAACTTCGCAAACCGAGGTCAACGAAAACGAGTTTCTGCGCCACTGTGCGCGCGCAAGTACGCGCAAGTGCCGCGCAAGTGCGGCCCAAGGGCCCAATCGCGGGCAAAGGAATATAGGACAACCCCCATATGCCAAGGTGCTATTTGGGGGTACCATGGTTTAAAAGCATGGTGGGGTTCTACTCTGAAGGAGTTGTATTCAAGCCTATTCTAAACCACAAAACTGTTTATGACCATGTTGGCAAAGCCAATTGGCTTTGCCAACATGGTCATAAACAGTTTTGGCAAAGTCAGAGGGTTCTGGGGCGCGCTCATATGGGCTATGGCATGGTGAAAACTCCCTTCTTCTTGGGGGTGGTACGGCCGGTCATGAACTCTTAGCGTTTTCAAAAGTATTTTTTGTTATATTTGACAGGTGTTTCGTTATGTTTGAGCGGGGTGTTGGGCGCTCTTTGCTGAGCAGCACTAGTGGCTGAACTCGTATCGGATGAAGAACTCGGTGCTCGTAGCGCCTGTGTATGGCAGCGCGCAAGAAGTCCGTGGGCTATAGTTGCGGATGGTAAACCAGCTTGCTTCGAATATTCCACATTTTGGCAGCAGTCCTAAGGTTTCTGGAGTCGCTTCGTTGCCGAAGCATTGTAAGAGTTCCGATTGAACCTGACCATGACCAACACAGGTTTTCAACATAGCACATGAATCTAGGGTTCAGGTCTGGAGTGAGTCCACCCTTCCTTGAGTGAGTCCACCCTTCCTTTTTCCTGGTCATTGCTTTGACTGTTTTGGGGGGTATCACAGTCTTCAACTGGGAGTGTTTCGCTTCAAATCTGTCACTGATGGGTTTTTTTTGAAACTCGAGAGTGCTTTGAACAGACAAGCAAGACCATCGGACTGTGGAATGACTATTCCGTGATTTGGAAACAGCATAGAATCCTCGTTTGTTCATGCGGCAGCATGTGAAGTTCCTGTACAGGCGACACCGATGGAAATCAGGTCATTCGACGACATGAGCAGCGACCGAAACCTCTATTGGCCATGTTAGTACGTTGTTCTACCTATTTCTACCTGGCGTAAAAGAGGAGTAAAGGATTATAGTAATGCCTATATGAACCTTTCTAAGCATGTGGGTAGAACACAATATCCATGGGTTTTTGGTGTTGCTCAAGAGTTTGTTGAGCCGGATGATTTCCCACGAGGATCTGCTTTTCCCGCAAGGTGCTCACGCTTGGTGGTTCCCAGCCATCCGGTTCCATTTGTTCTTCTTCTTTTTTTCGGGTTTTCAGTTGATTGAGTGGTAGTTTCCTCTATCTAACAGTTGCACTTTTAGCAGATCCGGGAACAGCCCAGACCAGTCCTGATATCTGCGCACGAAACATGAGCGAGATGCTGGCGGGGGCTTTGGAAGGTCGCTTGCAAGCACCGCTCAAGATGTCTTAAATGTCTTCTTGGTCCAGCAACAAACACAAACACGGCGCGTAGAGCTATACCTTCACCCCTTTAAACTCTCCAACATCAAAGGGTAAGGAGTCTGGAGGGACCTGTTGGGACTGCCTGACCAGCGTGTTTAGCGGGTTGGCCGTTAGCGTTTTGCGCTTCTTCGGGGGGTGAACGCAGTGCCGCAGCAGGATCATGTGGATTTCCTGGAGGGCTTCTTTCAGGCCTTCCGAGCAGATCAGCGGCGCACGTTGGTTCGGCCACCATGGCTTCTCTAAGCTGCGGTTGGGACTCGGGGGGGTTCCTGAAAAAAACAGCATATATGTATGCGTGTGTCTGTGGGTGTATCTTTTTTGATGGTACCCGTATTGGCTTGGGTGTAAAGAAAGGCATGTCTTTAGAAAACACATCTTTTCTACAACGGGCCCAGTTTTCCGGCTGCGAATGACGCAAGGAACCAGCTGCATTTTGGCTGCCTGTGGGGCGTTGTCGGGCGCCTTGCACTGATGGACAAGGGAAACAAGGCTAAGCAACTCTGAGATTCCACGAAATCCGAACACCTCTTCCAGGAGCGGCGCAGCTTCAACTGACCGCATCTGGCTGAAAATCGAGCTTTTGGTTAGCCATTCGGGCGCTTCGGGACATCTGCCTAAAAAGGTCGGAAACGCGCACATGCGAATGCACACTTTGCGCAAGATTGCGGACATTTGCGCGATAGGATCGGATTTTTGCGCTCAAGTTGCGGGCTGGCATTGCGCATATCGACCAAACTTCACCCGACAGCGACTTGTGTCGACAAAAAGTGTGGCGCATGCACAGTCCTGTAGCAAACAGCGGATCCCGGCAACCCCAGGCAATGCTTGCGGGCAAGCAAGCACGCAAGCACTTAAGCACGCAAGCACGCAAGCGCAAGCACACAAGCACACAAAAACACAAAAACACAAAGACACAAAGACGCAAAGACACAAACACAAAGTAACAAACATCAATCAAACAACACAAACAAGCAAATCAACCCACTTACTGATTTCAACCACCAATTTGCCAACGAACCCACTCACCAACTAGCCAACCAACCAACTAACCGACAAAACAACTGAGTGTCGAACACGCAACCACAGACAAAGGCACACACGCACAACACTTGCTTCATTGCCTCCCTCCCTCAGCTCTTGAACTTTAAGCTTTTTGGGAAGTGGTAAACAAACAGCTAGGGCCGCCAGTGGTACCCTTTTACCCTTTTTGGGGGGAGGGTTCCCCTACTAAAATAGACTACAGAAACTGAGTACCCTTGCTCTATCCTCTCTACTGGAGGACCTGATCAGTTCGGATTTGTTGGCCAGTCCACTCAGGAAGGGGCCGTTCGCAACGCTAAATCGTAGCCAGGATGCTCGAGATCTTTTCATCCAGCGCGGCCAGCGGCAGAGGCGCGTGTTGAAGGAGCTGATGGCTGACGTGAGCACCCATAGGTGTCCTTTTTAGGTTAGTTTGATTAAAAAAAGATGGGTTCCACTGGTTTAGGTGGGGTTTCTTCCATTCACCAGGGCCATCTTTTTTTCCGAAAGGCCTACAATGTGAGCACCTCCAAGTCAGGAGGAAGGGGGGACTCCGCTGCAAATTCACATGCAACCCAAGAGGATCCAATTCCCGCAAGGAGCTTTGACAGGGGCAACGTTCCATGCGAATCAGGGAAGTTGGTGCTTGTACTTTGAGGGCTGTAGGATATGGTGTTTGATCATCCAGAGGATGGCAATATCGGGTGATTCTACTCTTTCATGAAGGATGACAGTCAGAGAGACATAAGTGAGCCAGAATTCATTGCTGACATTTTCTTCCCGGTTGGACTTGGCGATGATCTTGAGTCATTGGTCTCAACAAGTCAGCTGTGCACCTTGAAACACTGGGAACCGCATTTGGCACAGGCGTACCAAACCGGTAGGAGCTTGCAGGTCATTTTACTCGTAGAAAGGAACGGCCCGACGCGTAACCTTGGCGGTTCCCAGCCGTCCGGTTCCTGGGCTTCCATTTAACCCGAAGGACAACAACTCTTAGCAGGGGGCCAGTTTGAACAGCCCAGTAACTTGTGGTTTGGCGTGGGGTAAGACGATAGCTCTGCCCCACTCACATGTCTGGCTTGGGATTTTCTTGTGGTTCACCCAACCACAAAAACACACCAACCTTTTAGCCTCGGATTCTGGGCGACAGCTTGACTCATTCTGGTCAACCTGTCCGAACAAGAAAAGAAGAACAAAAACAAACAAAAAAAAAAAAACGGCTGTTTTTAGGGTCGTTGATCCAAAAACCAGCGGTTCTCGGGTTGAAGCAGAATCAAGTCGCCTGAGCTCCACTGAGCCCGACACCTCCCAAACGAGTGGCCTAAGACTTTCCTTGGCAGGCGCGGCAAGATCGCAAACTCTCCGCGGACCAGGCCGAGAAGCCACGTAGCTCAGACAATCCATCTAGGCAATATACATTAATATAGACTGTATATATGTATATATACATCAGTGTATATCCACATTTAAACCTCAAGATGGGTCAAATGTTGGTGTATATAATTACCTACGTGGATTCTTTGGGTGGGTTGATAGCTCGTGTGGTGCGTGCGTGGGTATGTGTATGTCATTGCAGGGTTGTATCGGGTGCTGACCAGTTTTTATACGTGCCAATGTCGTGTGTTTGGCCCTCGCGCATGAGCTTGGAGGATCAAGCTGGCTCGGTATTGTTTGCTTTCAGCAGATAGATCAAATCTCGCACCAGGCATGCTTGTCGGCCGCATCGGGCGAAACCTTCCCCAAGATGAGATGAATTGTAGCTTGTCTCCTCGTCCTACTACTCTTGACCCTGGATGAATAAAGCCAGCTGTCCTCTTTCAGAGAGCATCCTCTTGGGGAAACACCCGTCCGTGAGCTTAAATCTTAACCTCAGCGGCCAGGCCTTTGGATGCTTTAGCCACGGATATGCTTACGCCGCGCAGGCGCCAAGGGATTGCCCTCGGTTTTTGAAGCAACACGAGCGGCAGTTGGCTGTGGGTAAAGAATAGGTACCCAAAATGGCATCCTGGTAAATGGAAACAATGACTAAAACCTGTGGTCCCCTGGTGGTTTAGTTTTGACCCATACCCAGTTTTCTACATGGACAAACAAACTGCTCACTTGATGAATTCCCCCCCCTTCCGATTTGAATTGGGATGAAGCACTTAACTGGTGCGTTTGGCCATCCGAAGTCTGAGCATTCTCATGGTGTGAATCGGTTCGCTTGTTTGGCTCAGAGTACTTGCCGCAAGGCGCCAACGATGACTGAGAGCACTGAACCAACGCGGGATCCCACGTGTCGTCGCCCTTGAGTCCAATTCACGTGTTTTCATGGGGGCTGGGGGGGAGGGAGGGGAGGGGGAGGGAGCCCAAGATTACCCTTATTAAGCCCTTATTAAGCCCTTATTAAGGCCTTATTTAGGGCTTATTTGGGCTCCCTCCCCCTCCCCCTCCCTCCCCCCCAGCCCCCATAATGTTTGCTTGCGCCAGGCTAGCAGACACACGAGCTTTGCAGAGTCTGAAGCTCAGTTGGCCATATGGGGAACAGCGCTTTGGTTGCCTCAGCCTCGTTGCTAGCCAGTGGGATAGGTTGTTGGGGGGAGCCGTTGAAGAGTGGCTTCTCTATGTACAAAGACTCATTGGTTTGTACCATATGGGTATGGATCAAAAATAAACCACCATGGGACCACATATTTTTGTCATTGTTTCCATTTACCAGGGTGCCAATTTGGGTACCTAGTTTTGACCCACAGCCATACCACACAATGAATGACATGTTCCTTGCCACTTGATGCGCGAAGCGCGCGTGGCGTTGCGAACACTCGCCTGAGAGTCGCCTTTTTACATTTGTTTGAAGGGATGCCAAGCCGGAGTCATTGTTTTTAGGGTTCCCTTTTTGTTGGTGGTTTTCAAGAAAACTCCAAAGGAGAACCACCATGTGTTCGGCCTACTTAGACAGGCACACCAAAATGTAGGAACACCTACCTTTTTGCCAATTTGTTGTGAGTGGTTCCGCAACTCTGCTCTGCAGTGCATGGTTTCAGTGCCAAGCAATTTCACCTACCAAGTTCGCTGGCTATGTAAGCACCTCGCAGGAATTCCAGGGCTTGTTGACCCCGGATCAAGAAACCAATGTAATTGTACTTGGGGGTGGGGGGGTTGTCCCCTCCAAAAGTGGTCTGAACCCCCGCATTTAAAGGGGACACCATCTCTCAAACTTTACTGGGGTTTGCTTCCGGGGTTCCCAGTACCATTCGGTGTGCGAGTTTGCAATCTCAAGTTTGCCCCGGTTTTTCCCCCAACAGCTGAAAGCTATGGGGTCCCTGCCCAAATAGGCTCTGGGGTGGCTTGGGGCAGCTTTCAGGGAGGGTTCCTGAAGGTTCTTGAAGGGGGGGCTGATGGGGGTACCACCTCTTTGATCCGCATTCTTCCTAGTCAAGCTCCGACCCATTCATTGTACGTTGGGGGACATTGGACGGGGTGTAGCGTTTGTGGTAGCAATGCCTTTCTTCCCGAGCGCGTTTTTCCCCCAGAGAACTTTGTCACTGACGTTTTTCAGGTTGTATTCTAGTTGCCACTGACCTTCCGACCTTCCGACCGGAGCTCTCTTGTCTCGCCTTTTTCTCCCACGATCCTCGGGCTGAAGAAATTTCCAGGCATCGGCGGCTTCGAGTGAGCTCGGTCCTTGCCGCGCTGCAGGCCGCCTTGCACGGGGTTGATCAAAAGGTCCATGGGACCGTGACGATTGGGGGCAACCACGACAAAGATAATATGCCCCACTACATGGGAAGAGTCACCCATGCTCATTTGGGGCTCGAAAGGAGTATTGATCAACCCCCACCTTTTTTCTTTGAGGCCAATGCTGCTTGCTTTTCACGGGATCTTTATCTCAGTGTTCCGGGCAAAGCAGGCCTTGTTCTGTCAGCCAAAACCCCTTCCGTGTGAGTCGGTTGAGGAGTCTGACGGTCCTGGCGTGGATTTTGTCAGTAGGAACTGAAACAAATGGAAGATGTGGGCTTGGCCAACATTCAAGCCATGTGGAGCTTTCAGCGGGTCAAACTTATTTGGCATGTTGTCTTGCTACCGTGGTCGCGTTTAAGTGTGATACTGTGGATGGACAATCAACCTGCACCAGTTGGGATGGATGAAACACTATGAATAATGGGATAAACCTACTAGCCCCTGTGTGTGTGTGTGTGTTATTTTATGGATTTTGTATCCATCCACTGCATTGCTCGACTGTTGCAATGGGTTTGGCTCATCGATCGTCGCCGAAGCGCAAATGACGCAAACGCACTTCTGAGGTTGCAACGGCTGACGCGGCATGTGCAAATCTTCTGACTCAATCCCACCAGTTGTGAGCCGTGGACCGACAACTTCAGAGGTTCTGCAAAATCAGGTGGTTCTGTTTGGTGTTAGACTGTTTGACAGCTGCCAAGTCACAAACCTCGGCAGATTGATCAACAAGGCCAGGCGAAGATTGAGCCAGAGGAAGCTGTACAATACCACTGCCAATCTACGCCAATGTCGAAAGTGCCTTGCCAATGTCGAAATGCAAGTCACCACTTCGCCCTTTGCCAAGCGATTCACTAAAACCTTCTAAAGGTCACACGAAGGCCTTGTGCCTGGACCTGCATTTTGAATGGCTGCACACGGAGGCCAGTCGGGTAGTGCTGGATTTGGGTGTTTTCCGGTTAGTGATCCAATATGCGCGTGGTTTTTTTGGGAAAGAAGTATACTTAGTGCATCGCTTTTGGTGTTCTTTCAATGAGGGCTGCATCCAAAAGCGCATCCATAACAAAATTGGGCCTGCGCCCGCCTACATGCGAAGAAACCACATTTTGCGGTTTAGCTATGGGCCTGTGTGAATGCTGGTTACCCACTTTACTGATCCACGACTCATGTTACTCGAATGCACGTCGGCCTTTTCGTCTCAGAGAGGAAAACTCTCGACTCCGCGAGCGAAAATTCGCCGGGCCACGTTGCCAGTGTCAGACTCAACACAAGGAGCTCAGTGGCGTTTGCCTTCATGGTCTGAATGTCCAGTGTGGTCCATTTTTTCTGAAAACATTCGAAAAGGAGCTTTACACAAAGCATTCATGTCCTTTGTGGCAGCCGTGTATGTCCACTGCGAGTCATGCGTTTTGCCATGTCCATGCGCTGTCCGGCTCAAAGTCGCATGTGCCCAACGCCCGTCTGGACGTGGCAAGGGCAAGAGCCTGCGGCTTGAATGAGTTCCACGACAGACCTTCCCAATTCCAATGATGATTTGAAACTCAGGCGTCCTTCTGAACGTTTTTTCCAGCCAAAAGCAGCCTGCAACGCGTTAAAAACCTGATCAAAACGCGATCCGCTGGTACGTGCGGAAGTTTACTTCAACTCACCAGAATCCCCTCAGAGCAAGGCTTTCTAGCAACGGTTCACCCAGACCTTTTCCACACGCAGCCGCAAAGCTTTGCCCTTCATAGCTTGCGCGCGGGTGCAATTCAATTGTCCAGCAGCATGAATCACAAGGCTCGGAGCGTGTTTTTACACCTGGTGTCCCAAAGATCTAGAAGCTCCCCGTGACAAGACACACCCATTCTCACCGGCTTCAACCTGGGCGAGTGTCGGGGACCTTTGGGCAATATCTCCTTTCCGAGCGTTGAAAGTTTCATGGGGGGCTTGCTCACTTCGTAAAGAGATACAACCAATCTAAAAGGTATATGACAAAAGGTCACAACTGGCAGTCTGTGGTCCTTTTGGAAGTTTCATGGGGGACTCGCTATATGTCCCTTCAACATCCAGGGGTCTCACCAGGGGAAGTCAGTAGTTTTGACCGTGCCTCAGAACTCCTGCCCTCTTGTGGGGTTGTTTTTTTTGCTGCGGCTTCAGGTTCTCACAATGGTTAACTGTTTTTTTTTTTCGACATCCACCATGAACCATCAACAGTTGAACCAATTGGGATGGATGAACCCCCCATGCATACTGGTTGATAAACCAGCTAGGATTGTGTCCATCCACCATATGAATGAATACAAAATCCAAGCCCGAGCGGCACCAGTTGAGATTGGTGTGTTATCCCAGTCTTCAAAGTACGGTTTTCATCCATCCCACGTGCAGGATTGTGCCGGCAGAAGGTCCTGTGACCACTACTTGTCACAAGGTCATCAGCATGCAACAGGTCTAGTGGGCTTTGGTTGCTGTTTTAGGCTTGCCGCTCAACATCCCCAGCTCCTTCCCGATGATGATGATGATGATGATGATGATGATGATGATGATGATGATGATGATGATGATGATGATGATGATTATGATGTCCTTCAAATCATAGCCCAGTGTCCAAGTGCCCTCCGACCCGTGGATGTTTTTTTTTCCTGTTTTTTGTTTCCGGTTGGGGGGCGGTGTAAAGGCAAGCATATCTCCTGATTGGACCCTTAGGTTTGCAACCCCTCCCCAAAAAGAAACAAAATACAGACAATGTGTGCGCTGCACATTTTTCAAGTGACCATACACCCCTCGCAGGTGCACGGTCCAGTAAAGTAGTGGCTGAAATGCATCCAACGCTTTTGTCGAATGCTGCAGCTCTGCAGGAAAGTCCCTTCCGGAGCAAAGCATGCGGTCCAAGAGCCTTAGATACGATTGACCCCTCATCTCCAAGAGTCTAGGGGCACAGGCAGATCCTATCTAACGGGGGGTTTAACCAGGGGTTGAGTTTATCACTCCATTTCTGCCCAGAAACGCCCCCCAGCACCCCCCCCCCCCAAGCCGGCAGGCCGAGGCCTGGCTCTTAGCTGGCTCCCAGCTGCTCTCTGCCCTTTTTTTTAAAGGGGAATCTTCACTAGACATATGGCTGTGGGTCAAAAATAGGGTAAACCCATTTTGGGAACCCTGGTAAATGGAAAAGACTAAAGCCAGCGGTTTTGTTGGTGGTTTAATTTTGACCCAGCGCATACCCATATGTTTGCTCTTTTTTCTTCCAAGTGGGCGAGAACGTACATGGAAGTGGTTGCTTATGGAAAACGCAGGGTTGCGGGGCCCGCACCCCCACTTGAGCCACATCCTCAAACTGATTCGGGTACAAGGTTGGGGAGCATCCCCTTGCCATAAATTGGTTCGAATTTCCGCCTTTCCAATTCTTGACGTGGTTCTGCGGATCGATCAGTTTAATACCAGGTTTTGATTATGACTAACTTGCGGTTGTTTTCTTGTTGGGCCCAAACTCCATGAGGACCCTCTGGGAGATGTCAGACACTGGCAGCTTCTTTCCATAGCAATTGCCCAAGCGCGCCTCAGAGATGTAGCCATGGTTCAAAACCAATGGTACCATTTTGGGATAGGTGCACCACCCATTTTAGTAGTGGGGATTGGGATGTTCACTGGCAGTACGGGGTTTTGACCCATGGCCACGTGAGTTCTGAAGTCAACCCTTCCTGTCGGAGCGGTTGATGCCGTTTTGCTCGTCGCCTTTAGGCTAGACGAGCTGGTCCTCGGCTGGAGAAGGAGGTGGGCTCGGTCTCGGGTCGGTTTCAAAGTTCCGGTCGCTTTTCGGCGATATGAGAGCGGGGAGCTCGATTTTTTCTCACAACCAGGGGACTTGCACCATTTTCCGGTGAACATCTCCCACACGAACCAAGGGACTTACACCATTTTCCAAAAGGGGTCTTTGGAAGAAACGAGTCATTTGGGCCATGGCTTATACGCGGCCTTGGTCAGCGAGGGTCAAGACTGAAGGGCAAGACTGGGATACACTGACATGCACATGGCTTGGCACCCCAGAATTCATCGGTGTGTGTGTGTGTGCGGAGTGGCAGAAAACCCTGCCACCAAAACCTTTTTCTGTTGCAGCAGGGGGACACAGCACTTCACTGGGACTGTGTCCAACGAAGCTACCAGTGAAGTGGGATATCCAGCTTGGCCAGCTGGACGTACCTGCATCAGTGATTCTGAAAGTCTATTTGGCCCCCTTGGTTGCGGCGCTGTTTGTGCTTCTTGTTCTTTCGGGTAACGTGTTCGCTGCTAGACGGAAGCCAAGTGACTGTGAGCCGAACCTATATCCACTCGAGACTTATCAGTTGTACTCGAGACTCATCAGTTGTACTCGAAAGATTAGCACTCTCCATCTGGAGTTCAAGTGTGTACACCCCATTCGTGGGGAATCCTCGGGTGTACCCATTGTGTGACCCCGGGCCGGCTCTGTCGGAAAATTTGACCTCAACGTGCTTATCATAGAACAGTGGAATTTCACATTTAACCAGGAACGAGGTTTCACTAAAGGGAAGACAGCGATCAGACCATAGCGACGTCTCACCACAGCTGCTGGCTGCCGACTTTCATTGCATTTGCTTACCATTGGTTGAACTTGTTGCTCGTATCATAGCGGTTGAAGATTGCTGACTTGTATTTGCTTTGCCTTGTACATGTCGACTTACCCTTTGTCGGATCCATTTCATCGACCATCGCAGCTGGGGGCCGTTGACTTGCATTTGCATTGATTTGAATGTTGTCGGATCCGTTTCTCTCAAGGTGGAAGTGTGAAGATTCAGAGTCGGTTGCGTCACCATGTCTCGACGTGATGATCGTGATAGATCCAGGACTCGGCGCAGACGTGATCGGAGTCCGTCCCCTCAAGCTCGCAAAGCACGCCGACGTGAACACAATGACAGCCAGGTCTCGGAGAACATGGATTGGAACAAC